CTGTTCTCCACTTCCTTGTTTTGTAGTCAAAGCATTCGCCTTTCAGAGGACTCTGGAAACCACTGCGAAGTGCCTTTCTCTTCCCTTCTCGTCATTGTTCTTTGACGATATTTTCGAAGATATCTGAATGACCAACTAGGTTTTCTACAGTTCTTAAAGCCCCATTTTCTGAAATGATGTGTGTGTGTGTGTGTGTGTAAATGGGATGGGATCTATAATTAAAATTTGTATACATGATCTAAAAACCTAAGGCAACAACAAGGACAGTGACAGGGAAGGGAGACACAGGAACATAAGAGGAGAATGAACCAGGGCACGTGCCTTGGGAGCTCTCAGTTCCCCCAGCACCCTGACGGGCAACGTTGGACATATTAATCTTATCTTAAGTATAAACATCACGTTTCTTATTTCAAGAAATTCCATGAGAAAACTTAACTTAACATCCTGGAGAAGTGACGAATTAGCCCTTCATTTAAGTGCTTTGCATATTCTAGTTTTCATTGGCTAGATTTGCTTTAAATAGTAATGTACCCGTATAAGCACATCACAAAGGCAGGTAAGGCAGTAAAGATGTCATGAAGCTTGAGATATTTACTGTTTTATTTTTTTCCTCAAAGGAAGCAGAGGGAAATCTTTATAGAAATTAATTTGTGGCACAGACTCCTACCTTACTCCAAACAATGCAGTTTTTTGGTGAGAAATAACCTAAGTTTATTTTCAGTCTTTCTTTCTACCAGAGCTTTGGTGACAATTAAACAAAATAGTGTTATGTGAGGTCAGTGGCCTTCAAAAAGCATTCAATACATGATTATAGACACTGTCCTGTAGTTGAAGAAGGCTTGGCTTGGGTCTATACCAGCTTAAAAAAAATCAGCTATAACTCATAGATTTTTGATAACACAGCTAGACACTTTCAGGGGACAAGCAAGACTGCTTCCTGCTGGTGTCCGCTGGGTGGTGAATGATTCTACCCAATATCCCAATCATCCTACCCTTTTCAGTCGGTGAATACTCTAAAAAATATATATATAGGGGGATCCAGAGAAAGCTCTTACCTCTCCTGAAGGCCTATGGGCTTCATTTTGAAAGGAGAAGGGCAGACAGAGGTGGCGGCCCTGATCTCAGGAGTGTACTGGCCTTGAGGGTCCACGACCACGTTCAGTATCTTCGGAGCCTGCTCAGGCTGGACCATGCTGGTGGCTGCCTTTGCTTCAGCCTGTGATGGCTGTAACGTAATGGGCGACAGGTGGATCTCCTGGTTTTTCTCTTTATCTTGTCTCAAGGAGAGCTGAAATTTTTCTTTTAATCTGTAAAGAATCTATAGAAGGAGATATAAAAGGCTCCTGTCACAATTTTTTTTTCATATTTAACAACAAAGTACTGTCTCCTCCGCCCCAACCTGGAAGACAGCTCAAAATGAGGCTTAACGATAATTCAAGTAAGCAAAGCTTTCTTGGTTGATTTCTCACTTTCGTGGTGCTGAGGACTTCTCTCAGAAAGATGTACTAGTTATTTCTAGTCATAGGGCACAAACATATTAAATATATATGGACATGAATCGGGGGGAGGGTAGAGCTCAGTAGTAGAACACGTGCTTAGCATGCAGGATGTGCTGGGTTCAATCCCCAGTACCTCCATTAAAAAATAATAAAAATTAAAAAAAAACAGGTTCTACATATGGACATGAATTCACTCCTCAAATGTATATTCAGAAGCAAATGTGGCTAATTCGATAAAAAGTGCTAGATGTTGGTTCGATGTAAGCACTTACTGAAAATGACTGAAATGAAAAACTTACAGAAGGAACAGCCCAGGAAATAGGGGCTTAGGACTTTTATAGAAACAAAGATTTGTACTCAATACAACATACAAAGAACATACAATAAATGCAACCTACAAAGAAGAAAGTCTTGAAAAATATTCATTGAAGACTAGTTATGCTGTAAGCCACAATTTTTCGATGTTGGTAAATATCTGCATTAGTCACATATTAACTTGAGTATCTGGTAAATACTTAAAAAACTAAATTTAGGGCATGTATCAAAGAATAATTTGAACCACCAGAATTTTCTTTCTTGCCCCTTGGCCCTGTTAATTTTTAATACATGTATTAAAAAAGCAAAAGTATCACTTTCCTTCATTCTCAGAGCTCTTTCTGGACTGGCTAATTCAATTCAGACATGGTAGCATCTTCACTTTCAAACTTTAAAAAAGAATTGGGCTGACTTCGCTGAGACACAAATGCACACATTGAGAGGTGAGCTGTCTGTCTCTCCTGTCCTCAGGCTTCCTTTTTGTAAGTCTTTTCCCCTTCTCTCTTTTCTCTTTTAAACATTTATTAATTTTTATATATTTTATTTTATTTTTCCCCCAGCTTTATTGAGATACAATGGACATATAACATTGCATACATTTAACGTGTACAGTGTAATGATTTTCTATTTTGTCTCTTTTCCTGTTGCTAACTCCTCTACTCCAATTCCTACAAAAACTGGATGTCCTTGGGTTTCTTCAAGCCTGTTCTCAGGTTATTCGCATGAAGCGGTGACTTAACCCATTACCTGCAATTATAGTAGACATCTGCATCTTAAAAAGCCCTCGGCCAGTTGAACTCCCCTGTTCAGTTTCTGGAATCCATTAGCTTGAATGACTGTTATTTTAGGGGACAGGGCTGTCCTGGCACTTTTCAATCGCATTTACTCTAACTGGTCTTGAGGCTAATTCTTTCTTTCTTTTTCTTTCAAATTTCCTTTCAATTCTAGTCATCTCTATATTTGAAATTTACTGAAAAGATACAAAGTCTAAATATGTACTTTTCTTGTTAAAAGATGTGAATGCTGATGAGAATTTATTTCAGGAAAATTTTAGAAAATATTCATCCAGTATTCTCAAAATATATTGGTGGAAAAAAATTCTGTTTAACAAAATACGATTATAAAAAAGAATCAGGATGAAATAAAAACACAACAATCTAAGATGAAAAGGTATCAGACTGAGATTAAGAAAAGGAATTCAAAGAACTGAGAACTCAGTAGCAGGGTGTAAATCTTCTTTTAAGCAATAAGGAACTCCAGCAATCCCACTCCTGGGCCTATATCCAAAGGGAGCCTTAATTCAAAAAGATACATGCACTCCAGTGTTCATAGCAGCACTATATACAATAGCCAAGACATGGAAACAACCTAAATGTCCATCAACAGATGACTGGATAAAGAAGCTATGGTATATTTATATAATAGAATACTACTCAGCCATAAAAAATAATACAATAATGCCATTTGCAGCAACATGGATGGACCTGAAGAATGCCATTCTAAGTGAAGTAAGCCAGAAAGAGAAAGAAAAATAACATGATATCACTTATATGTGGAATCTACAAAAAAAAAAGACAAATGAACTTATTTACAAAACAGAAACAGACTCACAGACATAGAAAACAAACTTAGGGTTACGTTGGGGGGAAGGGATAAATTGGGAGTTTGAGATTTGCAGATACTAACTACTATATATAAAATAGATAAACAACAAGTTTATATTATATAGCATAGGGAACTATATTCAATATCTTGTAGTAAATTATGGCTAAAAAGAATATGAAAACGAATATATGTATGTTCTTAAATGACCGAAGTATTGTGCTGTGCACCAGAAACTGACACAACATTGTCAACTGACTATACTTCAATTAAAAACATACTAAAAAAAATAAGGAACAGAACTGACAATATAGAAAATGCCATCGGTGGTGTACATGCAAAGATGAGAAACTGTCTAGAAACGGATAATAAAGCAATGAAGATGAAAATAAGAGAAAAGATGGGATATGGATGTCAGAGAAGAGTTACGGTAAATGATCAACCAGAATAAATGAGAAAGAAGCAAGTCATTCAAAACTGTTTTTCATTGTCCACTTATGTCACATGTGGTCAGAAGTACAGGGTATTCCATGGTGAACAAAGTGGACAGCATCCTATTCCTATGAAATTTAGGGATATGGGATGAAAACAAGTTCTTAATTTTTTAGAAAAGTACGCCAATTGAAAGAAGAGTAAATGTGAGAAGAAAATGGAGGAATTTTTTGTGACTTTGAGAAAAAAAATACATACTGCAAAGGATGCATGAATTCTGCATCTGGATAAACTGACACTCCCAAGGATGAAGCCAACAGAAAGAATTTCTCAAATACACAAGGTCTCAGAGAATATATTACCTGTGTACCCGGCCTGAGAAAATTTTACTCAAAGTCATGAGAAACATGAGTCACAATGAAGAACTGAAGAACGGGAAATTGCAACATAAAAGGGAGCTTGGGAATTATTTAAACGCAGAGTGAAAAATAAATTTAATTATGTCTCAGTTCCAACATCTCAGATAGTAATAACAAGAAAGAAGTTTGAGAAGAGCAGAGAAATAAAAACGAGGGGTGAATATACATTCGGTGACTGTTAATTAGGGATACAGGGGAAATTAGAGTTCGAACGGTCACTAGAGGTCCTTTTGACTTAATGGTACATTAAAGGAATCACAGTCCGGCTAAACACTGTGGCTGGTCCGCAGTCAGCAGTTGGCTGGAGCAGAGCCAAGCCCCAGGGCACCTCTGACTGGCAGGCCTGATCACTTTCCACCCCTGACATGCTCTTTGCCGGACCATCATTCTTAAAAGGTTGACTCTGAAGTCATAACCTGCTCACGTGATTCTCAACACCACCAAATCTAAGAGGGTATCCTTTGTATGCTGAACGCTCTTTTTAAGGAAAAGGATCATAGACATATGAGGTGTAACTAGAAATGCCTGTTATAACTTGAGCTGCCAGGAAATTAAAGAGAATCCTTCGTGTCTTTTATATCAGCTCACTTCCTCAGAACCTGGACACTTTTATACTGGTGGTCGTCATGGACCACGGCAGGGTAAAGCTAAATCTTAGCTTTTTGGAAACAATGGGTTCTCAATATTCCTGTGACAAATATGACTGTGTAAGGAAAAAAGAGGTCTAACACTAAGTGACAAGTCTTTCTAGCTTTATTATAACTGCTTTCTGTAGAGTAGAAAATACTGGGGATTCGTACTCTTACCTCTGCCTAACGCCTAAGGATGGAGAGGGCTTTTTAACTTACTGCTTCTTTTCAGTTTCTGTAACCCTCCAAAGGCACTTTGCCACCATTCTGCACAAACAAAACCCACCCCGGAACAATATCAATCAGATGACACTTGCGTGTTAAGCTAAATGCCTAATTACTAAAAGATGAGGCAATAGACTTGAAGGTGGGGTCGCTTTTTTTTTTCACCGTG